AATTTTTTATTCACAAAAAAAAATAATCGAGTTTTACTGACTTATTTTTTTTCTCAACTCATGATGATTGACTCTAATTAATTTCAAGTGTTCAACTATGTCCTTAAAAATATGTATTATTTTAATATCAAATATTAATAATACCACTTTTTTCACAAAAATAATATTTAATTAATATTTACAACAATGTAAAAAATATATAAATCTGGGTACAAATATAGTCACTATCACAATACTTAGGATGAATGACAGTCTTCACAAGTAACATATAATAAGATTACAATGTATATACATTTTAAATTTGAAAACAATGATGAATATAATTACACTCAAGATATTACCATCTCGAAAAACACATAATATAATTAGAGTTAAAAAGATTGAGCTATGGTTTGTTTTAGCATGATTGATTAGATGATAAATTAGTTAGTGTGTGGCGACCAAATTTTGTAAAATAAGGAATGAATGATATGAAGGTAATTGACATAATTAGTTGGTGTGACAGTTAATTAAAGGTAAAGTAACAAGTTTTAAGTTGGATGGCATGAAGAGTAGACGAAGGAAAGAAATCATTTTAATATAGATAATGATACTTTGACAACATTCTAATATTATCTTCGTGTCATTCTGTAATTGATTCAAAATTATTCAACAATCAATAATCAATAATAATAATCATAAATACCAACATATATCAATAACATAATAACACATAAATAATATTAAAATATTATTAAAAAAATAAATGTTATGAAAATATCATTATCCTTTTAATATATCAAACTTTCTCTGCCAAACTCCTAGGATAACTATCCAACAAAACATTAATAATGCCAAAAATAAAGTTTACCATTAATATATATATATATATATATANCATGATTGATTAGATGATAAATTAGTTAGTGTGTGGCGACCAAATTTTGTAAAATAAGGAATGAATGATATGAAGGTAATTGACATAATTAGTTGGTGTGACAGTTAATTAAAGGTAAAGTAACAAGTTTTAAGTTGGATGGCATGAAGAGTAGACGAAGGAAAGAAATCATTTTAATATAGATAATGATACTTTGACAACATTCTAATATTATCTTCGTGTCATTCTGTGATTGATTCAAAATTATTCAACAATCAATAATCAATAATAATAATCATAAATACCAACATATATCAATAACATAATAACACATAAATAATATTAAAATATTATTAAAAAAATAAATGTTATGAAAATATCATTATCCTTTTAATATATCAAACTTTCTCTGCCAAACTCCTAGGATAACTATCCAACAAAACATTAATAATGCCAAAAATAAAGTTTACCATTAATATATATATATATATATATATATATATAAAACTTATTTATCAATCAGTTTTTTTTATAATCACAGTTTAAAATTTGATTATTTGAAAACTAAATTCTAACCCAAAAAATCATACTATTTATATAAATATTTAGTACAATATGTTATTTATCTAATATTTCTTTTCCCTCGTTTGGTGTCATCTAATTTTAGTGTTCTGTGTATCGTCTTTTTGAATGAGAATCTTTCTCCGGTCCTTTTTTTACTAATGAATAAGATTATAGTTGTTAACTTGACTTCATGACTGATTTATTATATTGTTAAAAATATTCATAATAACTATATATTTAACAGTTTCACATATTTTAAAAGTTAAAATTAATTACAGTTTAAACATTTTTTTTATTTTTTATTTTTTGAGTGTTATTTCAAAATAAAACCGTAATATATAAAACTTATAATATTTAAAATATATAGTAATTGATTCTAACAATTTCTTAATAAATTTGTTAATACTTATTATTTTTTTCACTTTCCGATATATCTTTTAAGATAAGACAACAAAGAAATAAAATTAAAATGGAAAATGGAATTATTTAAATTATACGAAAGCCAATGACAATAAAATAACTTTGTTTCTCATACTAATTTCAAATTAAAAATTTAATTTATTATTTGTAATATTATCTTTTCTATTATTATTACTATAAAATTAAAAAAAAAACACTTTTATCATATTTTTTTTAATAAAATATCTACAGAAAATTGTAATATAATAAATTATATAACAAATATAATTGATTATGTAATGACTTTTTTTAACCCTTCCCGTGATTTTTTTCCTCCATTTCTGTGTGGGAACCAAACCACAACATCTTTAGGCGTCTTTTTTTTTCGTTCTGACCTGAGCTTTGAATGGATGCAAACAGAATGAAAGAGAATGTGAATCCTAAAGTATATAAATATTTCTTTTACAATTTTAGTCACTTCTATTGCGTTACATTAACTACTTAAAATTATTTTCTATTTACAATTAAACTAACCCAAAGTGGTACATTAAATTTAGATTTAATTAACTTTTAAGTTTATGATAAATTTAAATAAATATTTGAGTTTTAGTCGTTTAGTTTTTTTTTGTTAAATAAGTTATGTGAATATTGTTTTCATCCGTTATTTTTGTTTATTTATCTTTACGTAAGATATAAGAGATTCTATGCTTAATATAAACAATATTATAATTAATGTAACCATTTTTTTTTATCAAACATGTGTGTAATTAATCACGATATAATTTTATATTTAATTATAAAATCTCATATTTTTTAAGTAAATGTACAAGATACCGAAATAAGATCATAGTTATGTCAACTAATTAACGAAAAAAAAAAATCAAACAATGATAATTTAATTAAAAAAATACACAGATTTTAAATATTTAGTAATTTTTTTTAATGAAAACTCAAATAAAAAACTTAAAACTTAATTAAAGAAATAAATTTTCTATGTAAAGCACAAGTGGTATCGTTTTTAAACCCTTAATATAACCGGGTTACCTTATTATTATTTAGTTAATGTATAAAAAGACACCAATGTATGTTTCACAACCCAAACCAGATTCAATGAGACTATGTTAGGAAGCAGTTTCACACATTATACATCGATTTAGTTAATGAATAACTGTATCTCTTATATTAATGATACGGTTATATTAAATTTCATAATATTATTTTAACTTCATATTTCATTAAAAATATAAAACGCGATAATAAAATGATATTTTAAGTAATTATTAACTGATTTATAGAAGAAAATTGATTTATAATATATGATAAAAAAATACATTTAAAAGCCTAATGAAATGTCACGGAATTAAATATTTAAAGATGAATGAGTAAGGTGTGATAATTTTTAATAGCGTGGTCCTATCTGTAGTGTAGTTCTGATCCATAAAAACGGTGCATTTTAGCCTTTGCATGAAAGTCTCAAAGGTAGTAAAATTGTAGTTCATATTCAAACCTTGTTCACTAAATTCTATTAAAGATGTGTTTGAAGAGTAGTTAACATTTGCTTAATGAGGAGATTCACTTAAAAAATACAATATTAATAAGATTTGAGTCTAATCATATAAGAATGACAAATTTTACTGATAAACAAAATATAAATTATGAAATTTGATAGAAAGAAAATAACTTAAATCAAGTTAGGATTCAGAATTCTGACATTGAAAAAAAGAATATGATATTTATATGAACATTTGGCACAGTTTGAGTAAGTAAAAAATGACTTGTTTGTGACGGAATTTACAAACACAATGAATTTGTAATATGATTGTGTGTGGTCCTCTGCTTTTACCATTTCCCAGTTGTTCAATTCATGAGATGACTCCATGAATTGTTTAAAGTGGCATATAGCACATGGGTTGGAAAATCCTTTTATGTGATTATTCATACAAAAGTGGAAAGTTGAATGGTCAAATACTTTTAATGCCTCAACTCCAAATAAAAAAACTTACACTAGAATGGTCAAAAGGAGATCATAAATGTCACCCAAAAACCTTACTTACTGTATCAAAACAGTGACTGCTAGGGAAAAAACTAAATTAAATAGTAAATCCTAAACAAAAGCGATCAATAAATAACAACTTGCATGGTGGCCAGTGGCAGTATAAATAACAATCAAATCGGAAGTATTTGAAAAAAAAGAAATGTATAAATGTTTTGAAGAATAGTAGTCTGTATTAAGATATCATTTGTTTTGAAATAAATCATTTCTTGCTGGTTTATTTGTTATCACGTTCATAAACTCTAAATCCAATAAAAAAATGACATCTATATTATGTCAAAATGTTATTAAAACATCTGTATTAAGGTATTATTTGTTTTGAAATAAATTATTTTTGTTTTTTATGATATCTTTTAAACTTAGTTCAAAACTTACAACTAGGTTAAAAACCAGTGTTGGAAAAGTTCAAACAAGCTTTGAACAGAGAACTCCGAGCTTTCCATTACAATTCTGTATTGGTCTTTGTAGCGTATAATTTGAATCTTCCAATCCTATTTTTAGGGTCTTGTTATTTCAAGAACTAGATAAACGATTGATGAAAGAAATTTAAGACATGTTCAAATATTAAGAGTTTGCAGTATCTTAATAAAAAATGAATTGTTTATTATTCATGTTAAAACAATCAACAAGCACAACACAACCTCCATAAATCTTGTTCAAAACACACTTTGAACCATAATTCAACAAGGCCCATAATCGATATAATAAAAGGTATTGCTTCCTCCACCCCCATAAATACTAACTGCCCCCATTTTGCACTCCACAAATACATTAAAATATCCTTCATATCTGTACCACGCCACCCACTGCCACCACAGAAAAAATAAAAGTTTCGGAAAGCTCATTCCAGGGTATATTTCTGAAAAGTTATTTCTGAAAAAAATCATTCTAAAAAACTTATCACAGAAAGTATTATATTCATTCTGAAAAGTTTATTCCGGAAATCCTATTACATTCCCTTAATATTTCTATTATTAATTTTCTTGCAGATAACTACTGTTTCAGAACGAGGTGAAGTTAGCATTAGATATTGACCAAAATGTGGTTTTTTTATCTATAGATCTGTAGATAAGGATTAGATAGATAGTTGGATACTATTCTACACTACAGTTCAGCCAAAAACCAGTATGCAGAAACGACTCAAAGTTTTGACGTCAAATTAAAAAGGTGTAATCAACTAGCCACATAATTGGATCTGTCTTAAACATATGATCCCCAAAGGAACAGCAAAAAGAAAATAAAAATAAGCCGTTTTACTAACTATGAATCCCCAAAATCCAAAACAAAACCTGATCTTCATCAACACCAGCCAGAATCACACATCTTGCACACTCAAACCTGCAAAGGTAAATCATATACATATAAAATCAACACTTAAACAAAGCACTTCATCCAAAATTAAGAAAAAAAACAAGACCCAGTGGCGATTTGCAATGCAACTTGTTTCATTTTCTTGGCCATAATACAATTTTATACCGTAGTTTTCCCACTTGAAGAACCACTCAAATTAAAGCCAAAACAGAAATATACCTTTTACCTACTTCTCCTACCTAAAGTTTCCATATACACATACTAACATGCAGCACTATAGAAACATAAAAAATATCAACAGAAATAGTTGAGTAACGAACATGGAGGAAGTGATTGCTTCAACTTATCAGCCTTCTCAGAGTCAAACACACAGAGGGTGTACAGGTACTTGGAGCAGCGAACCTTGAACTTTACCACATCTTTGCTCCTCTTGATTTTCACAGAGCGTGCATCCTTCCTCCTCGCAGTGAGGAGGAAGTCTTTAATCTCATGAATCTGCTTCGGCTGCACAAAACACCAAGCACCACACGTCAACATCAACTACCAAAATACAATAGAAAACCATAGAGGCAATAACCGAACAATGATAGTAAAATCCACAATACTTTGAAAAAAATATCACAATTAAACAAAACAATAACAAGGCTTTATACAACTATTTTAGTCATCTACATGGATCACATTGTCATCTGACTCAATTAAAGACTCAAGCTTCTGAGATGTGTATTATTTACAATGGAGATGCAATCCAAATCAAACAGTTTACAAATTAAAGGACATCTCTAATTGTTCTAATCTCTGCTGCTGAAAGAATTACACAAGCAAAATGGCTTTACCTGTACTGTAAAAAATTGTTTCAGCTACATAATCAAAATTTTACATATATACTAGAGTTTGTACTATACTAAATCCAAGATGGGCGTTGGCTGATCGTTAATAAGAAATTGCAAGAGGAGAATGTAAAAGCCTCTGTTTTTACATCGTAAAATGCAAATCGATCACAGAGAGGATACTGCACAATGCTGGAAGAATTGCAGAAGCTAATCAGAATAGAAAATAATTACCATAGTGAAATTCGATGCGATTTCCTCCTCGAAGCCTCGATCTTGGCCCGTCGACTTTGCTCTCGCACTAGAGCTTCAGGATCCACCCCTTTAGGGTTTATAAATCAAACCCTAGGTTAAAATTTTCCATACCTATTTCCCCAGAAGCATTGATTAAATGACACTCGTATCCTTCACTAAAATGAGCCTCACTTAATGGATTAGCCCAAAAGTATATGGCCCGTTTAACTGTTGTTAATGGATTCTAAATTGTGGCCCAAATAGTTATTTCTGACCTATTTATAAAATAAAATCAATTATCCTACCACTAATCATACTAAGTATTTATTTAATCCTGTAGATTTGTAGTTATTTAATAACATAAAATGCTATTATTTTAATGTAATTCTCTTATGCTAAGTTTTTTATAAACGTAACATTTTTATAAATAATTTTATATTATAATTTACAGTTTAAAGGTAAAATGTTTATAAATAATTTTACAGTTTAAAGTCAAGACTATTAATTTTAAAACCGATAATAAATATTATAATCTTACTTTTTAGCCCCCAAAATATATACACATGGACTTAATGTTTATAGAGTGATCTTACATTAAAGTAGACCTTAAAATTTGGCTAGAAATGTGTTGATTATTTTCAATTAACAAAAAAAGTGACCTCATTTGACTTTTATTTCACCAAGCAATTTGTCCAATAAATCGGAAGCCACTCACTTTTTGTTTGTGATTAATTATTTTTTGTAAAAAAAAATTATGTATAAATATTAAAGTGTTGATAGAAAATAATAATTTTCCATGCACTGGCCCATGAAAGTCGATTAGTCAAAGTAAAAGGTGTGTCAAAATTTAGCAATCGCATGTTTGTGATAAGATTAATTTAGGCTTTCCTTATTGTATACAATGAATGATACATATCTCTAACTATGCAAAACTTTTTTTAAGCTTTTTTTTAGTACACGCACTTCGGCGAGAGAAAGTTTTGAATTGTTATTAAAGTTCTGTCGGTGAGAAAAACAATTTTTTAATATAATAAAAATAGTTTGAACAGCAAATTTATGTAATCTTTTTACATTTATCTAGATTAAAGAAAAACTCAAATTTTATTTAGTCTAATTTTGTTATTTAATTCCCAAAAATTGCTAAATCAATAATAAATTATAAAATTTATAATATTAATACGTAGATAAAATATTTTTGACTTATGTTGAAGACATGATATGTAAATGTATGAGTAGATATTTATTAGTAATTTGATATGATGTAATTAACATGAAAAATTCTTGTAAATTAAAATATTATAATAAGTAAATGTAAAAACTAATAAGTCTAAAAAACTCACATAAGAATAAGTTTATAGGGTTAAAACGAGGATGGGATAATTTATGGATTATTCTATATAAATATGTCAAAGATTAAAATAGACAGAGTTGTTTTAGGTTCAACTAAAGTAGGTTATTGATGTTAGACATAAGCCAAGTTGTATTTAGGTTAAGTTGATGTTGATAATGTCACATCATCTTGAGTATACATTGGATAAAGTCTAAGTTAAGTCTTAAAAAAATCAAGTAAAGTCAACTATAGAAAGGTAAGTCAAGTCAAATTCACATAGGATCGAATTGAGTGGACACAACTTGAATCGAATTTAGTATCCACTTGAGCCTAATCAAGTCAAGTTGGACTAATGTCAAGTCCACCTCAGGTTCAATTGAGTTAGACACATTTCAAGCAGAGTTGACTTAGGCCTACCTCAGGCTAAGATTGGGTCTCTATCATGTCAAGTTGATTCAAGTTAGGTCCACATATAACAGAGTTGTGTTAGACCCACATTGTGTTGTGTAGAATCATATTTTCATTAGGTCAAGTTAAGTGAGGCTCACTTTAAGGAAGTTAAGTCGAGTTTAACTTAGGTTGAGTCGAGTTGGACTCACCATGGACTAAGTTGAGTCTGACTCATCTCGACCTTAGTCGAATTAGACCCATGTCGAATTGAGTAGAGTTGTGTTCCTATTAGATCGAGCAGAGTGTACCTACATATAAGATTGAGTTAATTTGACCACTTCGGACGGAGTTGAGTCAAACCCACATTTGGTTGAGTTGAGTTGAAGCCACTTTTAGCATAATCCCACATTAGGCTGAGTTGAAATCAAGTTGATAGGACCCAAATTGAGCCAAAGTTAGGTTGGACTAAATCCAAATTAAGTTGAGTCAATCCAGTAAGATAATTGAATTGGATCTTAAATTTTGTATTAAATTGCAAATAATAAAAATTAAATAATTAATGTAAAATATTTTAAAATCAATTTATAATTTAAAATATTTATAAAAGTTAATTAATGTTTTGGAATGAGACGAAATCCACTTTTTAACTCTTATACCAAAAAAATTCAAATCAAGGCTTTGGAATCGATACTAAAATTCTTTCAACACATGAATTAATAAAAAGAAGACTTAATCAAGAATATGTTAGGATGGACCATGAATCATAATTATATATAATTAAAACAATTAAAACGTTAATAATTTATGATGGTTGGTAAATTATAGTCCTTATGATATTAGTTATAGTTATAGGAGATCCATAATATATGGCAAATGAGTGTGTGAAACGGAGCATGAGTAGTAGTAATCAAGCTTGGAAAAAGGGAATAAAGAGGGTTATATATGCAGCGACATGTTTACTATTTCCTTTTCCCCGGATGATCTGCACATTCCTTTGATGTATACTGTTTGAACAGTGAATGTAAGCGTTTAGGGTTGTTTTTGTAACAGAGCATTCGATCCGAGGAAGCAAGGAATATATAATAGGGTTACAATCGGTGAGAAGAATGGAAAAGAAGGTTATGTTGGTTGTCATGCATGTAGTGTATTTATGCAGAGTTTGCATTGTTGTGCATGTATATATGCATGAGTACGAGAGAGAGAAACCAAGAATGAATGTTATTGTGAGGGTGTGATAAGCAAGTAACGTATAAAAGAGTACTAATAGTACCAACAAGTCCAATCTAAATCCAAAAAGTTGCTTGCCACTACTGAATGTTGGGCTATAGAAACTAAAAAGCAGGTATGGCAAGTGCTCGGTGATTAAAGCAAATATGCTATTCAAATCAAATCACCCTCTCATGGGTCCCCTCTTTTTCTTTTTCATTCTACCTCCCATTTCTAAACACCCCTTTTATCATCAAATCATTATTATATTTCTGTAATCTCTCAACTTTCTCTCAAATCTTCTTGCTTTTTCTGCATGAGAGTGGGCCATGGAGAAAAAGAAGAAAATGTAGAGAGCTTCGTAACTTTTGAAAATTATGGCACATGTACGATTCCTTGTTTCCCACTTAACTCGTGCATTTCTCTCTTTTCACCAACTTGCTTCTTTAAACCTAAAGCCTCAACAAGGATATATACACTCATTCATCATTTTATCTTCTCATGGAATCTATATGTCTACTATCATATGCTATTGACTTTAAATTTAATTCACTTTTATAAAAAAATTAAGATATTTTAATTGTATAAAGTATTAAAAATATGGGTTGAAAAGTTATGTAAGGAGTAGAAATGACTAACATATCAGAAAAAAAAAATTTAAGATTTGTGTTCAAATTGGTATATTATATTCATCATTAGTGATGGTCGGAACCTAACTTTAGAATAATAATATTATTAAGTGATGAGTCATATTTAGATTAATGATATTTTCATAATTTTAAAGGTTGAAATCATTTGTAATTATACTTATGTAATCAAAAGAGTTTAATTACATTCCATGTTAATAATGGAGGTTTTTGCTTATTTTGGTGTTAATTTTGTTCGGTGTGGAATTCAAACTAATTTAATGAGTGACTGCGACCTATTAAATAACTTATAATGATATAAGTGTGAAATTATTCGATGAGATTATAATGATTCGTTTAAAAAATGGAAACCGTGTTAGGGATTTGTTTGATTTTTAACTTTTTTTTTTTTAAACCCTTAAACTTGAGTTGGTAAACTAAATTATAATATAGAGAAAAATTATTGCACTTAAAAAAAATTTCGTCCAAGGTAATTCCATCGGAGAAGAAAATGTAAGTACTATTTTTGCTCAGGACAAAAAAAATAAGTTTTATCTTAATTAATAATTAATATTAATATAATTAATAAAGATCAAAATTAATTAATTGTAAAACAATAATAGCAAAAGTTAATTATGTCATTTACCTGAACTAATTGTCTTAATTAAGTTTGACTTTTCAAAAATGTAATTGCATGGATTACTTTGTCAAAATTGATCCTATCTAATTTGACATGTTGACCAGTTACTGAACGTGATGTTTTGGTATATATTAATGGTCTTAAGTGAAAAGTAATAATGCAAATTCTCATATATAAGACATTTGTAAAGTGTAATAGGACCCTTTCAATAATTTTATAGTTTTTTTTAAATTATGTCTAATTTAGATTTTACAAAATTAAAATTCTCAATAAATATCCATTTCTCAAGAATGATTTTGGTTCAATTTTTCCATAACGTAAGTTTTTATAAGAGGTAGTATATAACTTTTTTGAGTTAAAATAAAAGTATACTCTAAAACGTATTATATTATTTTTACCAAAGTATTTAATACGATAAAGAGTTTAAAATTTTGAATAATAATGCATATTACTTTATACTTTTTAGAAAAATCATATAAACATTTACAAAAGTTTACCAACCAATTAGCAATTTCAAAGAATCACATATTCTTAAGATTCCTAATTCCCATATGAAAATTTTAAGTAGCAGACATTCTTTTAATATTTATGCATTAAAAATAAAAAAAAATGTTCTTTTTTTTCAAAAAAATAGTCATTGTTTTTTTGTATTTTGTTCCTTTTCATCATTTCTACTTTATAATATACTAGTATGTGTAAGTTAAAGATTCCACATACATATAAGAGAAGTAACTTTTATGACAAAAGATCGTGTGTAGGCAAGATTACATATATAATCTATTACACATGTTGATATCATCATATTTTTATCATCTTAATTAACAAGAGATAATCCAAAACTATTTTCTCCTTTATTGTAACTATAAGAAATAAAATTAAATGATGGAAAAATAGGTCTAGAAATAGTTTTCTTAATAAAATATTTGTCTCATGAGAATTAAATTATTATATAATACTAATTAAC